CTTACCGAAAGTGTGGGTCTACCATGTAGGATTCCTATCAGACGACTACCACATCACCAATGGAACTCAGCAGGGGTGCCCCCTCTCCCCACTACTGTTCATTCTTAGCCTAGAACCACTAGCCCACAAGATTAGACAACATCCGAATATACAAGGGGTACTATTGGGGAAAGAGGACTTTAGATTTTCAATGTTCGCTGATGACATATCGCTAACACAAAGCAACCCAACTGCCTCGGTCCCAGCCCTCCTTCAACTCTTTAAAGAATATGGTGTTGTTTCTCACTATAAGCTCCACCAGGCCAAAACTCAAGCCCTACCAGTGGGCATATCATCCCAAACAGTACAGCACCTCACACAACACAACTCTTTTAATTGGAGGAAATCCAGTATTACATATCTAGGCGTAAAAATAGCTCTGTCGCTACAGGGCACCTTCAAATTGAACTACCAATCTCTGCCACAAATGCAATCTCACAGTGGAAAAAAGTCAAGTTTTCTTGGCTAGGTAGAATAAATACTACCAAAAGTTTTATACTGCCAAAATTACTGTACACATTCCACATGTTACCCATGCATCTGCCAACCGCATTGAGCAAGAGTATCCAATCGGTTCTTAACCAATTCATATGGGACTCCCGCAGACCCCGAGTATCAATTTTTCTCATGCAAAAGCACTCCTCCAAGGGTGGCGTGGGACTTTTCAATGTAGCGGCATACCATAAAGCCTCTATATTAGAATCAGCAATTAGGATGCACGTCCCAAAACTTGAACTATAATGGGTTGAAATGGAAAACTCCCGGATCTCGGGCACCTCACTAATAGATATTATGTGGATGCCAAAACATCTTAGATGTAATAATATATCAATGTACAGGGCCATTGAACACAGGCTGGAACAATGGATAAAATGGAAAATGGGTCTAGTTTTCTTATTTTGGCCAAATAGTTGTGGTGTCCTAATGAAAAAATTATTTAGACACATTTCTAATTAGTGAAGCCTAGTATACGTTGCAAGAAAAACTTTCTATAAATTATTATGTAATTCGGAATCCAAGTAATACCTTGTTTAATTCCCTATAATACAAATGGAAAGGAAACAGCTGGGGCAAACACAAAAAAAAGCAGAAACAAAAAGTAGAGACCTCAGGAGGTTACTAGAATTATATAACAAACAGTTCATGTGGAACTCACTGACCTCCTCCATTAGATGTTCACCCATTTTCCACTCCTTCAAAAAATCATTAAAAACCCACTTCTTCATAAAAGCGTATCAATTAAACTGTTAATAGCTTCCGACTGATTCCTCTCTTGCAACTGTCATAGTCTAGTCTAATACTATCCTTACCTTTTGTGTCACTTTACCCCACTTCCTCTAGCATGTAAGCTCATTGAGCAGGGCCCACTGTTCCTGTGTGTCCAACTTGTCTGGTTACAACTACGTGTTTGTTAGTCCACCCACTGTAAAGTGCTGCGGAATTTGTTATATAAATAATAACATAATATTAATAATAGAGTTGTTTTCCACTTTCCCATCGAGTTCTTGATGAAGGCTCTGTGACGGACCTCTTGCACTCCGACCGAGTATCTCCGCCAAGCGATGCTCCTAGTGCTTGCCAAGGACTCCAAGCACTCCAACTGACACCATCTGCACTGCAGACCCCACTTCCAGCGATGCAGCAGCGCTGGGGTCTCGCCGTCTCTCACCCACCCTGGATCCAAGGCCAGGATCCAGCTTCCAGTGGGTGAACCTCTCCAAAATCCAGAGAGCAGGAACCAGGAACAAAAGAAGCTCTTGCAAGAGCTGACTCTGGGGAGTATGTGATTATAGCAATCCCCAGAGTGTAGTTATCCCATCCCCCAAGCATGAGCCAAGGCTTCAGAAAGGGTCAAGCAGTTCAGTTTTATTGGCACCAAAGGGCTTTCTTTTATTGGGGGTCTTACACATACAGGACCGCCCACAGGGTTTTGAAGAACAAACCAATCAATACATTACAACACAGCTAAACACTTCCATTCATACCAGCAGAAATCCTCCCCTCTGCCTGTGATACAATTATCTCAACACAATACACTAACTTAATTATCACAGGCAGAAGACATACAGTTTTACACACTATTCATAACTTTAAAAGTATCCATCACATTCACATAAAATAAGCATACGTGAAATACAAACATACTCAAAAATCAGATAATTCCTTCTATTGGTTTAAAAGTTAGGTCGAAGTCCTTTGTGATCACTGCAAGCACGGCTTTTCCTACCCAAACCAGTTCCACAGAGTTAGGCTGTGTGAAATAAGTGGCTTAACTAGGTGTGGTAAGCCAACTATCTCCAGGTACAGAAACTATCCCTATTCACAACAACAGCAAAAATACACAAAAATACATAACTCCTATCATACTGTACAGAACCCCCAAATTCAACCTATCCCCAGATAGCTTGGATCTGAGCGCTCAATATATCTGAACAGCGCTCAGATGCCACAACCACAGTCAAATCACCATGGGGTTAAAGTTACAGCATGGGCTGATGAGAGGGGCCATAGTCATGAGGCAAGAGGCTAGCCATTTGTCCTCTCCAGGTAGAAGTGGCGAAGGGCACTTCGTCACAAGCTCTTATGTAGTGATGAGCGAACCCGAACTATAAAGTTCGGGTTCGCACCGAACATTACGATTTTTGGAGCCCGAACCCAAGCCTGGACATTTCAGTGACAGTTCGGGTTTCAGTTCGGTGTTCTGCGATTTAATGGTGCATTTTGAAAAGCTGCAGGGCAGCCAATCAACAAGCGTTTGACTCGTGAGCCCTTAAAAGCCATCACAGCCATGCCTACTAATGGCATGGCTGTGATTGGCCAGTACAGCATAAGACCCAGCCTCTATATAAGCTGAAGTCACATGAGCTCTTATTAGTGTAGGGAGAGGATGCTGCAGCTGTGAGGGACAGATTAGGAAAGAATTCTGGTGTTGAATCTGCAAACTACAGCGATTATTTTTGTGGTCGCTATACTAAATTTTTGTACCCTGCCCTGAGCCCAGTGCCACAGAGAAATAAGCAATCAATCTGATGATTATCTGATGGTTCATATCTGAGAGTCAAATAGAACCGTCAAATACTGTGATTACATCGCACTTTGAAAAATTCTAATTTTTTGCGTGCTAAAAAGTGCATTTGTGGCGTGCACTTCATATCTGAGAGTCAAATAGAACCGTCAAATACTGCTGTGACATTGCAGTTTGACTAATTCACATTTTTTTGGTGCTAAAAAGTACATTTGTGGCGTGCACTTCATATCTGTGAGTCAAATAGAACCGTCAAATACTGTGGTTACATCGCAGTTTGAAATATTCAAAAAAAATTGTGCTAAGTAGTACATTTGCTGCCTGCGGTGCACTTCATATCTAAGAGTCAAATAGAACCGTCAAATACTGTGGTTACATCGCACTTTGAAAAATTCACATTTCTTTGGTGCTAAAAAGTAAATTTGGGGCATGCACTTCATATCTGAGAGTCAAATAGAACCGTCAAATACTTTTGTGACATTGCAGTTTGACTAATTCATATTTTTTTGGTGCTAAAAAGTACATTTGTGGCAGGCACTTCATATCTGAGAGTCAAATAGAACCGTCAAATACTGTGGTTACATCGCACTTTGAATAATTCACATTTTTTTGGTGCTAAATAGTACATTTGCGGCCTGTGCTGCATTTCTTGCAGTCCAATAAAACCCTTAAATACTACTGTTACATTGTTGGTTTTAAAAAATCACACTTTTATGTGCTAAATAGAACATTTGTGGCCTGCGGTGCATTTCTTGCAGTCCAATAAAATAAAAATAAAAATAATCACCCACCTGCGATCCCTGGCCCTGAATGCCAACATTTCAAAATTCCTGGCCTTTGAAATGCTGTCATTCTGTCTGGTGGAGACGAACAGTTTTAAAAACCTGATGGTGGTGGCTGTCCCACAGTACGTGGTTCCCAGCTGCCACTACTTTTCCAGGCGAGCCATCCCTTCCCTGCACAACCAATTGGCGGACAAAATCAGGTGTGCACTGCGCAACGCCATCTGTGGCAAGGTGCACATAACCACTGATACGTGAACCAGTAAGCACGGGCAGGGACGCTATATCTCCCTAACTGCACATTGGGCAAATGTAGTGGTGGCTGGGCCTGAGGCGGATAGCAGTTTGGCGCATGTCCTTCCACCACCGAGGATTGCAGGGCATTTCTCTTTGCCTCCTGTTGCCTCCTCCTCCTACTTCGCTTCCTCCTCCTCTACCACCTCCCCCTCCAGTCATCGTAACACCTTCACCACCAACTTCAGCACTGCCAGGAGGAAATGACAGCAGGCTGTTTTAAAACTCATATGTTTGGGGGGGGAAAAACCACACCGCGCCTGAACTGTGGACGGGCATGGAACAACAGACCGATGAGTGGTTGTTGCCACTGAGCCTCAAGCCCAGTCTGGTGGTGTGCGATAATGGGCGAAATCTCGTAGCAGCTCTGAGCCTAGCTGGTTTGACGCACATCCCTTGCCTGGCGCATGAATTTGGTGGTGGAGAAATTCATGAAAAAATACCCAGATATATCAGAGCTGCTGCAGAAAGTGCGGGCCGTCTGTGTGCGCTTTCGGCGTTCTCACCCTGCTGCTTGCCTGTCTGCGCTGCAGCATAACTTCGGCCTTCCCACTCACCACCTCATATGCGACGTGCCCACAAGATGGAACTCCAGTTTGCACATGCTGGAGAGACTGTGCGAGCAGCAGCAGGCGATAGTGGAGTTTCAGCTGCAGCACGCACGTGTCAGTTGCTCTGCACCAGACTTGCCCTCCAATAGATCCTCATTAAAGGATTTAAAGTGTACTCATTCCAATTACAGGGCCTCGAAAGAGTCCTGTATTGTTATTTATCGTCACTACCTCCCCGCGTCGGAAGTGGGTAAATTGCGCGCCTGCTGCCTTCCTTGGATGTGGTAGCCGTTTCTCAGGCTCCCTCTCCGGAATCGAACCCTGATTCCCTGTTACCCGTGGTCACCATGGTAGGCGCAGACAGTACCATCGAAAGTTGATAGGGCAGACATCCGAATGCGTCGTCGCCGTCACGGGCACGTGCGATTGGCCCGAGGTTATCTAGAGTCACCAAAGTGCCTGCGCAACGACTGCCGAGTTGCCCACATTCTAACTTGTGCTGATTACTGGGTGGCCAGCCTGCTGGATCCCTGTTACAAGGACAACGTGCCGTCTTTAAATCCCTCACTGGAGCGTGATTGGAAGATGCGCGACTACAAGCGCACGCTGGTAGACACGCTGCTGAGGGCATTCCCAACTGACACCGGGGACTCAGTAGAAGCACAAGACGAAGGCAGAGGAGGAAGGAAGAGGTCGCCAACACAGCTGGGGCACCGCCAGCACCTCAGAAGGTAGGGTTAGCATTGCCGAAATGTGGAAAAGCTTTGTCAGCACGCCACAACAACCAGCACCAACAGCTGATATGGAACGTCTTAGCAGGAGGCAGCATTTCAGCAACATGGTGGAACAGTACGTGTGCACACGCCTATACGTACTGACTGATGGATCTGCCACATTCAACTTCTGGGTCTCCAAATTGGGCACATGGCCTGAGCTTGCCCTTTATGCCTTGGAGGTGCTGGCCTGCCCTGCAGCCAGTGTATTGTCTGAACGTGTGTTTAGCACGGCAGGGGGCGTTATCACAGACAAGCGCAGCCGCCTGTCCACAGCCAATGTGGACAAGCTCACGTTTATTAAAATGAACCAGGCATGGATCCCACCAGACTTGTCTGTACCTTGTGCAGACTAGACATTTATACCGGCCTCACCCAGCCATTGTTATACTCAAGTGCACTTATTCTTTGTTTTCTTTTTTTATATGTCCCAATATTTTGTGGGCTACCCCAATTGTTTGCAGGGCACTTGTCCTACTCTTACCCCCATTTTACTTCATTTTGCAGCCCTCTAGCCCTTTCCAGGACGTTTTTAGAGCCATTTTAGTGCCCAAGAGTTCGGGACCCCATTGACTTCAATAGGGTTCAGGTCCGGGGTCAAGTTCGGGTCAAGTTCGAGTCCGAACTGAACTTTTTGCCAAAGTTCGGCTGAACCTGGTAAACCCAAACATCCAGGTGTACGCTCATCTCTACTCTTATGGTCTTTCTGACATTGTAGAGAGCCACGCATTCCAGTATCCATGTGTGTGGCATTGTGTCATAGGCTTTCTTGTAGTTAATCCAGACCATTCACAGATTGGTCTGTTTGGTTTTAGAATCTCTTGTGACTGCTTGGCCTACCAGTAGTTGGTGTTTTGATCCTCTGGTGTTGTTTCCAATCCCCTTCTGAATATTGCTCATATATTGACTTATATGCCCTTGGATCTTGGAGGCTACAATGCCTGACAGGAGTTTCCATGTTGTGGGGAAGCAGGTTATTGGTTGGTAGTTGGATGGTGTTGTTCCCTTTTCAAGGTTCCTGTTTTGATAGCATGCAGTGGTCTGCTTTCAGGTCCAGTAGCCTCAGTGTTATAAGATGCTTCTTTCTTCCAGATATTCTTCCAGTACTGTTCAGTCTCAGCTCTGGATGGGTCTTGCAAGGATGGTGGTTACCCTGTAGCTGTGCATACACCTTGGATGGTTCTTTGGTAAAGAGGGCATTGCTTCTCTTAGCCTCTGCTTCTCTGGTGTACACTAGATTTCTCTTGAAGATGTTCAAACGTTGTGTAACCAGCTGTTTTTGTGTTATGGTAAATGATGGTCTCTTATTCATCCATAGCTCCCACATATGTTTCATGTAGACTGGGTATGCTTTTGTAGTAGCATTCAAGCTGGTTGTTACCGTTATTCTGTTATATGTGATATTACAGTTATATAGCTATATATGAAATTACAGCTATACAGTTATATGAGATATTACAGTTATACAGTTATATGTAATAGTTCAGTTATATAGTTATATGAGATAATACAGAGTATTTCATTAGCCTTAAGGTACATTGATAGTAGCGCTGTTACCCACAGACAGGCAAGTGTCTTACACTCCTATTATTTCCAGTATCACCTCTCATTATAACATGTCAGTCAGTTATATGTATAAAAATGTGTGAATTGTATAACCATGATGCCTTGTATTACCTATGTTATGGTAATAAAGAACGTGTAACTGCTGTTATGGTATATAAACTTAGCTTCAAAGAACTTACTATGCTACAAAAAATTGTGCTTGGAACTGATATCACAAAATAAAAAATAAAATAAAAAAATATTTTATATATATATATATATTCTGCAGTACATTTCCCCACTATTTGGTTTACAGATTAAGTGAGCAAAAGTAACCAATAGAGGGAAAAAGAAGAGGAGCTGTTAAAAATAAAATCTATATTTATATATGACATAGTTATAACATATCTAATATATAGTTTTAATATATGTATGTATATATATGTGTATATATATTTCCTGGCCATATCCATGGCAGCACAACAATGGGTTAGCTCCTCCCTATCCCTAATTAGACAGGAACAGAATTAAAATCAGGGGTATAAATACCCCCTCCCACCAATGGTCCCTTAGTCTTTTTTTTCCTGTCCTATCCCTATAGGACTCCAGTCATTGTAGACTGTGAACATACTCTTTTTTCTTTGGCTTACCTGAGAGTTTTTACCTTCGGCCTCAAGGTAGTTCAGCCTCTCTTCCTTGGGAAGTCTCCAGTACGTGGCCCTGCGCAAAGGATATCCCCCTGGAGATGCTCCTTTAGTGACCGGGAGCCACTTGCAGTGACCCTAGGGGTAGCAAGCAAAATATTGCCAGTAAGGAACATTCCCTGCAGTAACCAAGCGGTAGCAGGAAGTGGCAGAAGAACCTCATCTACAGAAGATTCTTCTTACCTTTACCTGGCAGGCACAGTAAGTTTTAATGCATTTATTGTGTATTATTTTACTTATGGCTGTCAGGTTTTCCCCCTTCCACCTCCTTTGTATGTGCCATAGATTTTGTATTTTTTTTTTTCTCCCCTTTTCCCCTTTAATTTTGAATTTACCGGGCTTGCCGCCATCTTGCCGGCGTCCTCTTGGTGCTCTGCGCGTGCGCGGACTATGGGCGCGTCTTTCCCGGTCCCCCGCGCACGTCGTGGCTTCTTCCGCGAATGCGCGGACCGGTAGCTACGTCTGTTAAATATATATATATTTAGTGATCCTCCTTTTTTCCCGCTATTGGTCACTTCTCACTTGATCTGTAAATGAAATCTGACCCTAATATATTTTGTCCATCAATAATCTCTTTTTTGATGTCACAGACAGAACTCTAAATCACAAATCAAACAAACATACTCGTCCATTGTGAAAGTTGGTTGTTCGGTTATACGTTCATAGTGCCCTTCGCAGTTACAGAATTTGGCCAAACTACTGATCGGCCTAACTTCAGCTGAACTGCAATTCAGCTACAAATATTGAATGCACAAGTCTAGTTATATATATTCAAATAAGTGTGACTGAGAACTAGTAAGGACACAGAACAAGAAACCTGTGATTTCTGAGGCACAAATATGATGCATTCACACCTGTAGGAATTTAATGGAAACACGTACAACTCAGGATTCATTTTAAAAGGGAAAAACTTTAAAACCTTTACTAAAAGAAATAAAAATGAATACAAGGTTGATTGAATCATTTTGTGTTTCAAGCAAATTTGCAAGGGGAGTATCCAAGGCATGGTTGTGTATTACATTAATTTGATGGCTTTATTACACGGAAAATTAGATGTGTACATCTATGTGTAGCTCGCCCTCATTTACAAGGTTTTAATCCTAAAAACAAGTTAACAAAAAAAAACAATACAAAGCAAAATGTAATACTTAATCTTTATCGAGTTTGCTATGTAACTATAACTATGTAATTCAAGTCAGCAAATGTGTTCTTTGTCCTCTGGTTGGAGGAAAGACGAGACAGGGGGGATATGATAGAAACATTTAAATATATAAAGGGAATCAACACAGTAAAGGAGGAGACTATATTTAAAAGAAGAAAAACTACCACAACAAGAGGACATAGTCTTAAATTAGAGGGACAAAGGTTTAAAAATAATATCAGGAAGTATTACTTTACTGAGAGGGTAGTGGATGCATGGAATAGCCTTCCAGCTGAAGTGGTAGAGGTTAACACAGTAAAGGAGTTTAAGCATGCGTGGGATAGGCATAAGGCTATCCTAACTATAAGATAAGGCTAGGGACTAATGAAAGTATTTAGAAAATTGGGCAGACTAGATGGGCCGAATGGTTCTTATCTGCCGTCACATTCTATGTTTCTATGTTTCTATGTTCCATTGTGACTGTTGTCCTAAAACCAAACATTAAATAAGCTCCTATTAAGAAAAATCTTTAGAAAAAGTGCAGTATGGACTAGTTACCACTGGAGGGCTCCTACATACAACATAATAAGCTATTATGAAGGAAACATACATAAATGTACTGTAAAAAAAGAATGTATATGCAAATAAAGGTGATTTAGACTATTTATTATCTAAGTGCCTAAAAGGCTAATATATATCAAATGTATTTGCCAACCTGACAGAAACTTGTGAAAAAGGAGGAAACATGGTACTCAAAATGCATTTAGCTACATGAATAGCTTTTCAGAGGTGCAACTGTTGCTGTGGTCATTAGAGGACAATTAGTGTACTAGCTGAAAATAGTGGAGGTTGAATAAAGATGTGAGGATAGCTGAGGGTAGTGGAGTCAGGGAGTCTGAATATACAGGGAGTGCAGAATTATTAGGCAAGTTGTATTTTTGAGGATTAATTTTATTATTGAACAACAACCATGTTCCCAATGAACCCAAAAAACTCATTAATATCAAAGCTGAATATTTTTGGAAGTAGTTTTTAGTTTGTTTTTAGTTATAGCTATGTTAGGGGGATATCTGTGTGTGCAGGTGACTATTACTGTGCATAATTATTAGGCAACTTAACAAAAAACAAATATATACCCATTTCAATTATTTATTATTACCAGTGAAACCAATATAACATCTCAACATTCACAAATATACATTTCTGACATTCAAAAACAAAACAAAAACAAATCAGTGACCAATATAGCCACCTTTCTTTGCAAGGACACTCAAAAGCCTGCCATCCATGGATTCTGTCAGTGTTTTGATCTGTTCACCATCAACATTGCGTGCAGCAGCAACCACAGCCTCCCAGACACTGTTCAGAGAGGTGTACTGTTTTCCCTCCTTGTAAATCTCACATTTGA